CGACAACATTGGTAGACTGAAAGCCATATTTGACGGTCAGCCATTGCGACCATAAGTCAGCACGGTAATCACCTGCAACGGTCAACTTAGGTGACAAGAATTATAGATAGAACATTACATTGTGTAATAAATCATTGCAGAATTATGATAATCTTATACATTGTTTGCAATAACGACAAATATTTTTGGCCGCATGGTGGTGGCCTCCTCGTGGCGCGTGCTGGAAACAGTTACTGTTTTGAATTGAATAGAATATTGAGTTGATAGAAAAAAAGAGTAGCATGATGGAAGTAAACAATTCATTAAATATAATTATACTTTGTAATTCTTAATCAACTGAATATGCATAAATTACAAAATTATTCTTTCACCCAGAACAGTACTGGCTAACACCACCTTTTTATTATTATATAGCAATAAAACAAAAATTGAAAAAATATGAATATAACTAACAATATTTTATGAAAAAGAACTTCATTCAAGCACAGTAATGTACTGAATCTGTTTATTATAAAATTTAAAACACCATGTGTGAGACAAAATTCGTTGGAGGCAATGGTTACTATAACATGCCGTAACTATGAAACAATCCCAAAATGTCTTATCAACGATAAAGTAAAGAATTTGATTTTGTTCAATGAAATTATTGCTTATAATATAAGTGAATAAATTATATGCTACAATTGTATATCATACTCTGTTTGCGTAATAATATGAAGTATTTCATTTATTTATAAAATTCTGAAAAGAACGCAAAATTTTCATTAAGTTAAGAAATAGGAGTAAACAGAAATGTAGATATCTACAAAAAAAATTTGTCAGACGTACTGCAGCCACTCCCACTTTGCCCTTCTTGTGATTAGCTGCAGCAGCCATAATAGTTTGCGTGAAAATAAGGTAGCTCAATATACATTGAACTCTTTCCAGATATTAGAAATTGAAAAGAATATTGTGTACCAAAGATATTCCGGCGAGAAGTATATACTTTCGATAAAATTTTTTTTACAAAGAAAATTATGAGCGTTGCTTAGACTGAATGAACGTTTTCTGGTGAAAAAAAATGAAAAATGACTACTTTAAATTATTGTGTAATTGCAATAAGAAGTAAACAAACATCATTTTGGAGTGATGTCATTAAGCATTGTAGTATTAATTCGTTTTCTTTTAAATAAGTTTATTTTATTAAAATACAATAGAGTTACATTTATCTCGTTGCATGGTCAGGTAACATAAGAAAAATTGAACATTACATTATCATATGTAAAAGTAGTATATTAAACTATAAGAGTATAAAAATGTTGCATACATTGTTTTAGACAATATTTTATATACCTATCGAAAAGTCATAAGTAATAAGTTATTAACGCTGTTTGGATTTCGCTCACACTTTCGCTATTTATAAGGTAGAGAATTAAGAAAAAAATTGAATTAATTTCTAAATCTGAATTTTACATGTCAACATTATATTAAATTGTAACGAAGAAAAAAACAAATTTCATGACATGAATTGAACCCTGTGCACCAAATAAATGTCCGGTACTCCGACCACAAAGCCAGCATATCTATGCACTTTATAGTGCCCGAGTCGAAATATAAAATCTATTTTTATCCTAAGGTTACTCTTTGTTGAAGTTCAACTTAAGATTAACAAATTCTAATTGAAGTCGAAATACGCAACGAATTAGAGTTTCCGTAAAACGGAAATTTTTCAATTGTATCCTAAACTTATAGTAATTTTATCCTATCTTCACTTTAATTATATATTTCTTCTATCTCAGCTTCATCCCACTTTTATTTTACACTTCTCCTCGTTTCAAACTAATATTATTTGAGATTCGAGTAATTTTATTTTAATAAAAAAATTCCTTATCATAATTATTGATTTTACTTTCATGCTCATTGAACTGGTTAATTAAATTAAGAATTAAGAAAAGAACAATTAAGAAAAATCTAACTGTAATGGGGATTATTATAATATTGAACATGTTCATATTTAGGAGAGCAGTTCATTTAATTCATTATTGAATTTCAACAAGAAATTTGAAAAAATCAATTGTTAAGAAATATGATTTTTAAAAGATTAGTCCATTACATGAATCGTGACCTTATTCCAACTATTTCCATAAATACTTTAAACATAAGGAAATCTATTTATAAGGTTAAAATCAGACTAAGTCATCTTAATTTCAACTTACTTGAAGAATAAAATGGTATAATATAAGGATAAAAAGGTTAAATCGAGGATAGAAGGTATGGAAAACGTAAAAAAAAAAAATTATAAATATTTTGCTTTTCGTTAATTTAACTATGTACTAAATGAAACAAAATAAGAATCTGGCGCTCTCACCACAGAACCACCAACAAAAAAAATACTTAATATCATTTATTTCAACTCTCGTGCGTAATAATTACATTATTATAAAAATGAAAACAAAAAAAAAAAATTTACCATAATCGGAATCAAACCATAAGTTTCAGGGTTGGGTACAGAGAGTAGGGGTATAGCTTGCCAGCGAAGTGCCGGGACTTGCTGCTGATTGTTCTAAACACGTCGAATTAATTAAAAATTGGAAAAAAATAATTGTTTCATTAATTAAATTGTAAGAGCAAGGAGTGAGTGACTGTTTTTCAATACTCTATCACACTTTATCCCTTCATTATAATTAAATAAAATGAAATAAAGAAAAACCTAACTATCATTCATTTTATCTCTTGAACGTAATCATTACATTATTATGCCAATTAAAACAAAAAAAAAGAAAAAAAAAAATTTACTATGATCGGAATCGAACCCGGCTCGGCAAAATAAAAGTCTAGTGCACTAACCACAGAGCCACTACTATTACACTTTGATTATTTACATTTATTATTCATAAGTTTCAGGCATGGGTACAGAGAGTAGGGGTATAGCTTGCCAGCGAAGTGCCGGAATGTACATCTAATTGTTTATCTGGTTTAGAATCATATTAAATCACAAATAAAAATTCTACTTCCTACTTATTTGATAAAAAAAAGATTCTATGACAACTCCTTCGATGCCTGCGCAATTTTAGTTGATTAATATACTTTATTTTTCGAGAAAAAGTACACCATAATCTAAATAACTCATTTTGTGTATTAAAATTGCAATCATATGCAATTGTTATTATAAAATTAAAAAAAATCATTGCAGATAATGCAAATTAGCTTTGCTATTGGGATAAAACAGATAGTGGAAACCTGCGTGGTAAAGCAGATAATGGAAACTTGACTGTTATACTGACTCTTTTCGCTTATTAGTTCGGTAGAAACAAAAAAATTGGAAACGGGGGTGACACTCGATGGGAATTTTTTTTTAAACGGCATTGCAACTCTCAGTCTTCTCTCTGCTTCAACCCAGCCTTAATAGTACTTTTGGCTGCAGATCGGTATAAAATCAACCAAATTACAAACTTTAGGTAGGCACAGCGCCACCTGACAGCCAGTATAAAACCAACGGCCGGTAAGTTATCAGCACAGTACAGTCCGTAAAAAGCAATACTGGCGGTTGGTAATACAGTCAGTAAGTTACCGATAATATGGAACAAATCTGCCCGGCTGGTATTGCAGATTGAAGTAGAACCCCTCCTGTTTAAACTACTGAGGCTGAAGCAGATACATTTCGCCAAATTTCAATCGTCGATAAACAATAGTAAAAATTATTTCCAAATGATAGCATTTGGTATAAATGCTCTTCTCGTTAATCTCCACAAAATAATGTGATTGAAATTTTTTTATCTATTTTAAAATTAATGCATACTAGCATAGGAGCTTCTCATATTGCTCTTGGGCCACAAAGACTCGTCAACAAATTTATTTTTTTGAATTTTTAGAAAAACATACTTTAAGTCAATTATTTGCCATATATGATTCCATTTCCTTTTCCGTCGGACCGAAAAAAAGAAGAACGAAAAATATATACACTGCCAACTAAGAGTTTGAAGATGAAAATAGAATTGACCAAATAAACAAAAATATTCTTATTTTTCTACTTTCATTAAATTTTGTTGTTATTTTTATTGTTATCCGGAAACTTGTCGTTTGCAGTGTTCAGGGCGTAGGAAAGACTAAATAGAATAAATATTTTTATCCCGTCTTGATAGAGATGATTTGTGCATAAAGAAGTCTCATACTCGTACTGATAAAAGATTCTTTCTAAGGAAAGTGTCAATACAACGAAAATACGGTCTTTAAAACGTGTGGTCAGGAAATGTTAGAAACAACGTTTACACGAAGCTGACGATGACTTGCAATAAAAATCAGATAATATTCTAAGAATTCTTATAAAAGATCAAAATGATCGTTTCTTGATAACATTGTGGCAATGAGTATTTCTGAGAAAACGTCTACTTCTTTTTTATCTCTATTTATAAACTAATAAGAAAAAATCAGTTTTGCGTTCAGCCGATTTTTGAATTTTTACACGGTTTTTAGCTGCACGGCTTCATAAAAAGGAAATCCCGTAAGTACATGTATACAAGTTTGATGGACTACTTGGATAACTCTCTTTTCTTTTTATCATTTATGACATTAAGGACATTGAAGTTAGATTTTCCCGACTTTATCTTAAGTAACAGAAGTGAGCAGACTTTGACGTTCGCTAAACATCAGCAAAAAAGTTCACTGAGCGGAATCCTATATCTTTTTCATTTTTACTACAGACTCTTTTGGCTCCGATACGATACTCTGTGAAAAAAAACGTAGGTCTATATATGCACTGATTAAATACTAATCATGTCTCCAAAAATACTTTCAAATTTAGATATAGAACATCTCTTTACATCAGTAATATCCGTGAATTTACTTACAGTGCTTAATAAAGAAAGAAAAATGAAATAAAATGTATACTATTAAGACGTTCACACACTAAGCATTAGTATATTAAGCAATCTATTAATGTAAAGTCTAAACGTTATACCTGGATACATTTCGTTCCATAGATAAACATATAATTGACCATATTTAAGGTTTCAGATACAAACCTGGGTATTTATGTCAATGTTTGTTCGTACAGGCCGATGATGCAACAACTGTGGAGGTCGATAATTATTCCCTAGCGGTGCTATCGAACGTTTTCTATCGCCTTGCATAAGATTCCGTAATGCTATCAGCTGTATAAACAACAGGAAATAAAATATCAATGAGTATGTGCATAATTTATTCGGAAGTTTCAATCATTTCTTTGTTTAAGACTTTTTTTGTCTTTTTTCATATTTAAAAAAAAAAAATTAGTAAAAAAAGGTAAATCGGGAAGAAACACTTTCGAAATGTGTTATATATATATATATATATTGTCAAATGTAACCAGATAATAACTTCAGAAAATTAATCAAAGATTGACAGTTATAAATTAATTTAAAGAGAAGACGTCCTGTCAACTCAAGTCTCAGCCAAAAACTGGAGATAAACGAAGTCTCCCTTCGTTTCTATAAACAACCTAATCGTCAAGCATCGTCAACTTCCTACAAAACTGTCGTTTGTCTTTTAATCATTAGATGGTAAAATACAAATATTTTACAATATACATTGTAAAATATTTGTATGTCGCCATCGGATGACTATTAGACTAACGACAATTTGTTAGTTAACGACGATTACGTGACGATTAGATTGTTTATAGCAACGAGGGAAGAGTTTGTTTATCTCCAGTTTTTGACTGAGACTTGAGTTGACCGCACGGATTCTTTCTTTCTTATTAATTGCTGTCAATCGTTAATAAACATTTTTCTTTATTTATTAAGTTGTTATTTGGTCTTATTTTACAATATATACACGATGTTGCTAATTCTAAACTACGACGTAAGATATTTCCAGTACTTAGAGATAACTGTATAGTCAAATGCATTTATTATCACGAAATCATTATATAAATGAAAAATAAACTATGTGGAAAATACGCTCTGGAGCATCAACATGATTATTGATGATTATTGACATGGAATTGATGAAAATAAATGCAACGTTTAGCGACTTTAAAAATGTTTTCAAACCTGAATATAATGTACCAAGTAATGCCCAAACTCTGGCCATTTTACTCAAAAACTCTGGGTTAAATACAAATTAATAATAAACAACAAATAAATTTATGTTATTGTGGGATGAAGAAGTGCCAACTTTGATCAATAAAAAAGCTCGCGACGATCAGGTAGAGAAGGAAAGAGAAAAAAAGATAATTCTTCCATCTTAAGCAGATATAAAATTATTGTACGATCATTCAAAAAAAAAATCGAGCCAATGTTTTAATAAATTAGCTGAAAAATTTGAGAAGAATGCATGGATACTTTTAAATCAGTCAACATTAATATCCATTCAAATCTTTCATCGACGTAGACCTGGAGAGATCGAGCGCTTATAACTTATGAATTATAAGAAAAAACAAACATTAGCAGACAATCTCGATACAAGTCAATATGAGAATTTATCAGACATTCAATTAAATTTTAAAAAAAGAATGTGGTGCTCACTGTTGCGTGGTAATAATTAACATGAGCATGTACCAACACATACTGCAATGTTGAATATCCAAGAAACAGATTTTGATCACTTGGCACAGTTCATGAATCATCGTGAGGAGATCCATCAGAATATTTACTCCAGAAACTCCATCAGAGTTTTGGTACCTATAGCTGAAATATTGACTGTATCATATATGCTACCATCTGCTATAGGAAATAATGTAGAATCTGATGACAGCTCGAGTGAAGAAGAAAATGTTGCCGAGGAATTTGGTGACGGATAAAAATTATCAAAACTATCAGCGCTTAAACACTGAAGCTATCAGGAAATACCCAGTATTAAAGCAAAGAATACCACAACAAGTAGAAACATGGATAGATAATCAACGCAGAGCTAAAAGTAGACAGAAATCCTATCAATCTAAGAGAAGATCTTATTAAAAAAAATAATGTGAGGGAATATAGATACGTTGATTTTTATCTAATTTCTTAAACTTGTAGATCAACATTAAACAATAAAAATGAAAAATGTCAGTGAGTTTCAATAATAAAGAGTATCATTAATTATTTAGTCTCTTTATTTTCAGCCTAAAAAAATTTTTTTCTCATGAAAAATGAATTTCATTCATTACAAACTTCTATTTTTTAAAAAGCGATATCCATTGCATTCCAGCTCATTTTTAAATGAAAGTCAATGCGTAATTTCTTTCGATGAAAATAATTTTTCCTCCCTTATTCCATTTTCGGAACAATATATTTATATTTTCATCAGCGATTTCATAATAACAACAATCCAGTTTCTGAATTATTAAAAGACGTCTTTACATACGAGAAATACTACTGGGCAGTTTCCACAATTATGACAAGACAGAACATAATTCCTAGCAGCAACGGTACGCAGATGATACGCGCTCTTATGTAAGATATGTGCAAACATGAAGAAGAAATGATAACAACCGACGACAATATCAATTCAGACACCTGCGAGTGTTATGCTAAACGTGCGCACAAGACTGGAGAACAAATATTTATAAGCTATAGTACACGTACAAACTCTGATTTCTCCGTGTATTCAGGCTTCGTTTCTACATATAATACAAATAAACAAAAGTCGAACTCGATCATTAGCCTAAATCAGACAAAGTATTGGACCTAATGCATAGAGATTGCGCACTTGATACTATTGTCGAAGAGAATGTACGGAAGTTCCTACAAATGAGACTGAAGTTATTAAGCTAATTATACTACTACTATGGAGGAGGATTGATTATTATTGAAAACGACCATGACTCCATCAAGGAGAATGATTTTAGAATTAAGAATTTCGGAAAGGAAAATCCTTTAGGGAGCTCTTGATTATGTGGAACACTGGATTTTAGCTTGATGGAATTATTAAACTGATATTCTTTATTAATTAATGATTATTCATTATCATGAATACTATTTACTACTCATGAAATGTCCACCTAATCATTGCACGCATCAAACTGTTATCATTTACTTCTTCATCATATTCAATATGATTTATCATTTACTTATGTTAATTTTGTAAAAAGTTCAAGACAAATTCACCTATAGATGAACAGGGTATGACATTCTTAATAGAATAAAATGAAAAATAAATTGTATGGAAGATTATTGTAAATAATGACAGCTAAACAAGCGATTATATTTGTCGTGATTCTTTCCTATGAATTTCAATGAATAATTGATACTGAATCATTTTTTCCCAAACCAAAAATTCCGATACATTAATGTATAATTATAATATTAATCATATAACCTGCTTAGGTGTTCATCTATTGGTGGCTTCACCTTATTCGCCAATATTCTTAACTAACTTCATTTTTTTATTAACTTTGTCCTAAACTATACTTTGATTGTATGTTTTATAAATAATTCACTAGGAGGATACTTGAAGAACACATGTCTGAAAAATTCATTCTTCTGCGAAAGTCTATAAACATTTGAAGTTTCGCTCTATAAACACAAATCTCAAAATTATATCGTCAAGAAATTAATTTACCACTTTATACCACCAAAAGAAATAGGGGTCACGAAAAACACCTTGAACATATTGTAAAATAAGACCAAATAACAACTTCGGAAAATTAATAAATAAAGGAAAATGTTTATTAACGATTGACAGCAATTAATGAGAAAGAAAGAATCCGTGCGGTCAACTCAAGTCTCAGTCAAAAACTGGAGATAAACAAACTATCCCCGAGTTGCTATAAACAATCTAATCGTCGTTAACTAACAAACTGTCGTTAGTCTAATAGTCATTAGATGGCGACATATAAATATTTTACACTTCTCCCGATCTTCTAAAAATTGCCACCTGGCAATTCCTATTAGTTGGGTAAAAATATTGGATTAGGCTAAAATAAATAAACAGGCAAAATCTAAAATTACATTTTTAATTCGAAATTTTGAAAATCAAATTAATAATTATTCAAAATTATAAAAATAAATCAAGTTATTACTCAGCCTAAATACCAATATTGCCGCTTACCAACTCTGTCTGCTTTCAAATAAATAGAACAAATAATTAGAAGGGAAAAATCCTGCGGCAGGTAAAAACCTCCAAACTGACCAAAATGATCTGAATTAAACCAATAACGTGATTCTATATGTTGAGAAAATCTCAACTTGTGAATTAACCTAACCGTTTAAGGATAGGGATGATTGTGCCGGAAAAGAGCAAACGGAAGTCAGGTTTTATAACAAAAATAAAATATCTTTATTTTCAGCACTAACAGGTACACTAAATACACTGACAAACTTGAGTTGTTAACTAGGAAGACTGAATGTCGCTCAAAATCACTGAATGTCTAATTTTAATTCTTGAATCTGAATTGAATGTCCAAAAGACTACTCAACTTGGTGTGTTCGGTATTATTGACCTCCCACACGAGCTCAGCACGCTTCTCAAGTTGAGCAAGAATGTGATTGTGCACGTGGCGTTAGCCTATCAATGCAATGCAAAATGAATTTGATGAAATGTCTTGAATTTACAATGAAATATCGTAAAATATTACTTGATTATAGATTTAGAATAAAGCCTGAATGTTTCTGATGATTTACCATAGCACTAGTACTGATGATTTACAATAGCACTAGTACTGATGATTGACTCAAACTTGTAAGATTTGTTAAGAATGAATAAGAATGGCGTGTACACGTAAACGAGAACAGTGAAAGAATGGCGACAGGAACTTCATTAGTCAAAAGGGACACTCAAAAGTAGTCAAATGAGTGACTAGATAAAGAATTATTGATTATTAGGTCGATTGGTTATCGACCCAGTCCCAAGATGGCCACCGAAGTTCCTTTCAGCTGGCAAATTCAAATTAAGAATTAATTAATTCTCAACACTATACAATAAAAGATTTCTTAAAAACTAATCATCCGTTAGTCAAATTAAAAATTAAAAATCTTAATTTTCATCTTTAATTCCCTTTCCATCCTTCTTCTTCATCAGGAGGAACCACTGGGACGAACCAAAAGAACCCAAAGAGTAGGCAGTGCCAAGAACTGGAAGGTCATGGAACTGAACAAAATAAAAGTTTTTCACTGAACAAGATCAAAGTTCTTCAAAAATTTTATTTTTCATCATAAATTCGATGTTCAATTAATAATTAGGTTGAATGTTC